CTGGTCAGGCACAGGTCCGTCAGCTGGTGTTTGAGATTCTGCATCACCCTCTTCCTTACACTGTCCCACCCTGCAGTGGGGCTGGCTCCATCTTCCTCTCAGGTCCTGGCTGTGCTGAGCCACTTCCGCACACTGGGACCCACGGCCCAGGCGTCTCAGTAGCAGCCAAGTGATGTAGAGATTTTGAAATTCTGCATTTATTTATTTATTTATTACTATATTTTATTGATTTTTTACAGAGAGGGAGAGAGATAGAAACATTGATGATGAGAGAGAATCATGGATCGGCTGCCTCCTGCACGCCCCCCACTGGGGATGTGCCCGCAACCAAGGTACATGCCCTTGACCGGAATCGAACCTGGGACCCTCCAGTTTGCAGGCTGACGCTCTATCCACCGAGCCAAACCAGCCAGGGCGGAAATTCTGCTTTTAAAGTGACCGGTGTGGAGCCCAACTGGCGTGGCTCAGCAGTTGAGTGTCGACCTATGAACCAGGAGGTCACGGTTCGATTCCCGGTCAGGGCACAGGCCCGGGTTGCGGGCTCGATCCCCAGTGGGGGGCGTGCAGGAGGCAGCCGATCCATGATTCTCTCTCATCATCAATGTTTCTATCTCTCTCCCTCTCCCTTCCTCTCTGAAATCAATAAAAATATTAAATAAATAAATGAAGTGGCCAGTGTGGGAAGTCAGATCCCTTGTCTTGCTCTGGTTCTTGTTGAGTTACCCGCCGGGCAGCCAGGGGCCAAGCAGCTCAGCTGTGGGTTCGAGTCCTGGGCGGCTGCGCTGGGCCCACTGGTGCCGGGGACATGTTCCTAAGCACCAAGGGCTTCCCTTGCGGAAGGGGACCGGGTGGACCTTCCTCGGGCCGGGGGCTGACGCGGGATGAGGCCGACAGAGTCCTGCCTGCTCCGTGCGTCCTCAGGGGCTGGCTCCGTCCGAGATCTCTGTGGCTGTGACCGGCTGCACGCGGGCCTTTTATTTGCTTTCACACTACGCAGTCGACGAGTCGTGGCCGTGGTCCAAACGGCTCATTCCTTTTATGTTTATGGGCAGCTCCAGTAGATAATTTAGCTCGTCAGTGGACCCCCAGCCAGCGTGGGTGTTTACCCAGCTCGCGTGGCCTGTGCTGACTGCCTGACTGACAGGTCTGCACCCCCGAGACCCCTGTCGATTCCAGCGTGAGCGTTGAATGCTGTGTGTGCTGTCAAGCTCTTCCTTTTTAAATACATGTTTATTGATTTCAGAGAGGAAGGGAGAGGGAGAGAGAAGCATCAATGATGAGAGAGAATCACGGACCGGCTGCCTTCTGCATGCCCCCCACTGGGGATGGAGCCCACAACCCGGGCCTGTGCCCTGACCTCCTGGTTCATAGGTCAACATTCAACCACTGAGCCATGCTGGCTGGGCCCTAGCAATCTTGTCTTTTTATGTTTTTTTAAATATATTTTATCGATTTTTTACAGAGGGTAAGGGAGAGGGATAGAGAGTTAGAAACATCGATGAGAGAGAAACATCGATCAGCTGCCTCCTGCACACCCCCTACTGGGATGTGCCCGCAACCAAGGTACATGCCTTTGACTGGAATCGAACCTGGGACCCTTCAGTCTGCAGGCCGACGCTCTATCCACTGAGCCAAACCAGTTAGGGCAGTCTTGTCTTTATGTAAAGATAAAAATGTCTTTTTAAGAAAACCCTCACCTGAGGATGGGGACATATGTGTATTTAATGTGCAGAAAAGTTCATAACGTCGAACAGCATCGTGACATTTACCAGCAGGAAACAGGAGACGGAGGGGAAAGAACCGCAGGGCCCTGGCACCCTGAGCCGTGTCCTGGTCTCCTCGTTACGTCAGGGTGTTGGCGAGTCTCCGCCCCGGTGGATTCGTGGTCCTCTCCCTGTCGCTGAGATTGTGAGGGGCTTTACGGGGGTGATGGACGGAGCTCTGCACCCCCTCACTCCTCTGTGGAGGCCCGGACCCCTAGCACCTCACAATGTGCTCTGTTGGAGATGGGCCTTTAGAGGTGAGCAAGTTGAACGAGGTCACTAGTGAGCCCTGATCCACGCTGCTGGTGTCCTTAGGAGGAGAGGACATTAGGACACAGACGGGCACAGAGGGAGGAGCAGGGGAGAGACAGGGACAGGGCGGCGTCTGCACATCGGAGAGAGGCCCGCCTGGTCCTCACCTGGACCTCAGACTCGTAGCTTCGGGCCGTGAGGAAAGGCCTTCCTGTTAGCTCGGTGCCGAGCCTGGGGCCGCCCTCGCAGTCACACCTGGGAGAGGGTAATGAAAGTGATGGACAAACGGCTCTTTTTTTTTTTTTTAAACAAATCATGTGCTTGGTGCATGGTTTCACCGGGCGATTGCTGGGCAGCCCGCCCCGGGCACACATGGGTGCAGACGCACACCCCTCCCCCCGTCCGTGTCCTCCGCCCAGGAATCCCCTCCCCTCCCGCCCGCTCTGTCTGCGAGGGCGGGGCCGCGGGGTCCCACGGGGTCCGGGTTCCCAGCAGCAGGAGGGAGGCCGGAGGATTTATGGGGTCATTGCGGGGTCACTGACTGCTTTCACACAGAAGACACCAGAGATGCCCGTGTGTATATATATTTAACAAATATTTGTATTGATTTCAGAGGAGAAGGAGAGGGAGGGAGATAGAACATCAATGCTGAGAGAGAATCATGGATTGGCTGCCTCCTGCAGGCCGGCTGGGCGGAAATGCCCAGGTAAACCCGAGGAGGTGGGGAGAGACCTCTCTGATGAGCAGCCTGTTTGGGTGCGGGACTGAAGGGGAGGGAGGGGGCCCTGCGTGCAGGTGTATTGGGACTGTTTGGAGGGTCCCTAGCACCCGGGCCGGAGGCGGGGCGTGGGAGGGGCTGGTGAGGATTCCTGTGCTCGTGCACAGCTGTTACTTCCACTCCTGTCCTGGCACCGCGACCTCCGACCCGCCCCGGGCCCTGGCCCTCCCGCTGGCGGGGCTGCTGGTGAACATATTACAGCTAAGTGGTGGTTTGGTGAGAATTCCCACAACTGCACAAAGCGCTCTGCGCCCTGAGTCCCCGCTCTGCGCTCTCCTCCCTGGCACGGCCCGCGTCTGGGTTCCCACCAGCAGGACGTTCCCAGGGAGTCAGGGTGATCGAGGTCCCAGCGACAGGCCTCAGCCCCCTGGGGCGGGCGCAGGAGGGTCTCCCCGGGGCCTGCGGGGGGTGTCACGCCGACGGGAGTTGCGCTCTTCACTGACTCACCACTGAGCTCCGTTATGTTGCCAGGAGCAGCCCTCCTGAGCTCTGCTGTGTAAATGGGGGAGACTTTCCCCTCTCCTTCCCAAAAGTCAGGCCCCGCCCCCAGCCACGGGAGGGTGGTAGCAGGGGCAGGGGCAGGGGCAGGGGCAGAGCAGCAGTTAGGGGGCCGGGAAGGACAGGCCTGGCGAGCCCTCTCGCTTCCTCCCTGCGACCCGTGCTGCTCTGAGTTTATCACGAAGCCGCGGAGACGCTCTCTGCTCCTGCTGAACGTCGTCTTCCCGCGGGCACGCCCTCCGTGCTCTGTGGTCTCGCATCTGTGGTCACGCACGTGGGGCCTTGGAGGAAGGCATGAAACCAATTTACTTCCCGTCGCCCACGCCCACGGGGCCCGCTAATCACCATGTTCTTCCCAGCCCGGGGCCTGGCATTGCCTCGGTGGCTTTGGGGGCTCCCGCCCTGGCGAACCCCCGCTCAGTTCATTGCATCCAGGTGCTATTGTCGAGATGTAGTTGACCGAGCAGGCCTCCCGTCACTGCTGATCGAGTCCGGAGGTCTGTGTTGGGCACGAGGGCTGCCTGAGCAGGACGTAGCCTGGGCATCGACCTGGGTGTACAGAGCAGACATTTGTTCCTCAGGGCGCTGAGGCAGGGCGTCCAGATCCAGGTGTCGGTGGGTTTGGTTTCTCCTGAGACCTCCCCCCTCCCCTCTTTCTATCTCTGTGGCTTGTAGATGGTTGCTCTCCCAGGGGCTTTTGTGTGTGTGTGTGTGTGTGTGTATGTGTGTGTGCACACGCGCGTGCAAGTGAAGATTCCTGGTGTCTTTTCCTCTTTTTATAGGGACACCAGTTGTATTGGATTAGGGACCCACCCCTATGACCTTATTTAACCACTAGTGTCCCGGTGCACGAGTTCATGCACATTGAAAGGACATTAATTGGAAGAAATATTTTAATATCTCTATCCGCCCTTTCTCTATAATAGAAGTGTCAACCAAATTCACGATCGACAATGACAGATGGAAACACGCATGCGACTGGCACCAGCGAGAGCTTTATATGTATCGCGCATGCGCGAGTCAACTTAGCCTTTTATAGATATAGAACAAACTTGCTTCATTAGACCTGCTTTCTGATGTAGCTCAACTTTTCCCAGCCCCGTGAGGAGCAGCTTTCAAAGCTGCAGGGCGACCCCAGCAAAGAGAATCCCTCCTCCTCCCACCCCAGACGGTGGATGTGGATGGGTGTGTGTGACAGAGTGTGTGTGTGTGTGTGTGTGTGTGTGTGTGTGTGTGACAGTGGGTGCGTGTGTGTGAGTGGGTGTGAGAGTGTGAGTGGGCTGTGAGTGATTGTGTGTGAGTGAGTGGGTGTGACTGTGTGTGTGAGTGGGTGTGTATGACTGAATTGTGAATGGATGAGAGTGTGTGTGTGTATGAGTGGGCTGTGAGTGATTGCATGTGAGTGTGAGTGCATGTGAGTGTGTGTCTGGTTAAGAACAGGTACAGTTTTTAAAGCTGTTAGTCTAGCATCTACTGAATGAGTTGGGGCCAACGTGGCCGCGTGTGCCTGCCTCTGGGGGGACAGCAGCCCCCAGCTTGTCTGGTCCCAGGCCAGTCTTGTCTGTGTCATGAAAATAGCATTTGAGCCCATTACTGCAAACACGTATGTATGCGTGTGTGTATCTTCCATTTACTGACCACTCTCCACTGACTTAGGTGTATCACACTCCTGTGTTAATACAGCGAGCGCTTCGTGGAACAGTCACAACATGGACTTACAGGAGGAAGTACTCGTCCGTAGGAATGGGAAGTCCCCGTTTTTCTCCCGCGCCAGGTGGCCCGGCAGCCTCGTGTGGGGTGCCCCTTGGGCTGCTGTGTCCCACGTAGACGCAGTGTGTCTGGGTGCTGGGAGGGGGGTCCTAGGTGAGGCAGACGGGGTGATGGACAGAGAGGGACAGGGGAGAGGCAGTTAGGAAGGAATTTGGCCAGGGCAGGGAGAGGGCGGGGCCGAGGTGGCGCAGGGCAGGGAGAGGGTGGGGCCCAGGTGGCACAGGGAAGGGAGAGGGCGGGGCCGAGGTGGCACAGGGAAGGGAGAGGGCGGGGCCGAGGTGGCACAGGGCAGGGAGAGGGCGGAGCGGTGACCGTGGTTTCCTGTCAGTGAACGCTGTGTCTGCCAACCCCTGCCTACGTCCTGGGACTAAGATGGGGCAGCATTGGCTGCCCCATCAGCTGAGGCTGGGGGGACCCGCCTGGAGGGAGGTCGCAGGCCTGAGGGGTGGGGAGTGGCCCTTCGCTGGGGAGAACCGGTGTTTCACCCTGTGACGATCCATGGTCATTGCTCACCCTCCTGGAGCCGCCCAGACCACCGGTCAAGTTTGCTTCAGTGAATTCCATTCTCTCCCTTAAGAACTGAGCCCTGGCCGGTGTGTCCCAGTGGATAGAGCGTCGGCCCTCGGACTGAAGGGTCCCGGGTTCGATTCCGGTCAAGGTTGCGTACCTCGGGTGCAGGTCCCCGGCCCTGGCCCTGGTCAGAGTATGTGCAGGAGGCAGCCAGTCACCGTGTCTCTCTCACGTCAATGTCTCTCTCTGTCTCTCCCCCTCCCTCCCACTCTCTCTAAAGTCAGTGGGAAAATATCCTCTAGTGAGGATTCACCAGTGAAATAAAACGATGTGAATCTTCTGGTCTTTGCTGGTCTTGGCCCCCCCCTCCTCCCCGCCCCCGCTCTCTTAGACGATGCTCCTCTCCTGGTGCTGCAGGCAGCTCTGTGGCCCTGGGCGCCCGTGAACGGTCAGGAGTGACCTCTGCCCGCGGGGCCTGACAGCAGCCTCCTCTCGTGTCCCCCCAGGTGGCCATCAAAGTCATCGACAAGAGGAGAGCCAGGAAGGACACCTACGTCACCAAGAACCTGCGGCGGGAGGGGCAGATCCAGCAGATGATCCGCCACCCCAACATCACGCAGCTGCTCGACATCCTGGAGACGGAGAACAGCTACTACCTGGTCATGGAGCTGTGTCCCGGCGGCAACCTCATGCACCGCATCTACGAGAAGAAGCGGCTGGAGGAGGCGGAGGCGCGCAGGTACATCCGGCAGCTCATCTCGGCCGTGGAGCACCTGCACCGGGCCGGCGTGGTGCACAGGTGAGCGGGGCGGGCGGCGAGGCCGAGTCCTCGCAGCGAGTTTAACATCCGTCTGCGTTTGTGTTCCAGGGACTCGTCCTGTGAGTTGGGTTAATGCCAGCGCGAGGCTTCGCGGGGCGTCTGAAGGCAGAGGGCCGGCGTTTGCATCCCGGCTCTGCCCGTTAGTAGTTGTGGGGCCCTGGGTTACGTGAGGTAACCACTCTGACCCTCGGTCTCTTCTTCTGTGAAACTGGAATAATGATGGTGCTCACCGCGTGGTGGGCGTGAGGGATGCTATACAGACGGCGATGAGTGAATATGTGGGTAAAGCTGGGAACGGTGTTTGGTACATAGCGAGCGACATGTAAGTGTTGGTTGCTGGTCTTATTATTTGCAAAATACTGAGACCCGCGGCTCGGGGCCTGAGGAGGCCTCGGGGTGAAGATGGCAGGAGGCTGCGCTCCAGCGTGCAGGCCCGGTGCTGGCGTGGCATTTGCTGTATGTGTGGTAGTTGCTCAGCAGCTGTTTTCTTCAGCGAAATCACATCACCGTTGGAATTGGGAACTTGCTCTGGAAAGCGCGCGGTGCTCCCTGTACCAGCCACCCTGGCAAGTCATGATGAAAACCAGACATTGGAAAGCACGCTGTTTCCTCTGGGGAGTTCCACAGCAAAGGGAGGGAGCGTCTCAGACATGGCCGCCGGCCGTGCCTGCTTCTGGTGCCGCTGCAAGGACGTTAGAAGGAGAAGTGCCCGGCCCTGGCTTCTCCCTCAGTCCTCCGTCCGCGAGGTGCACCCGTGTTGTAGGGCGTCAGGGCTCCATTCCTTCTCATGGCTGCATAGTATTCCATCGTATGGACGTGCCGCAGTCTGTCCATCACCAGTTCATGGACCCATGGGTTGTTTCCACCTTCGGCTGCTGTGAATATGCTGCTACGAACATTCGTGTATTAGTGGTTGTGTGAACATTCGTGTCCTTGTGTGAGCATTCGTGTACTGGTGGTTGTGTGAACATTCGTGTACTGGTTTTCATGTGAACATTCGTGTACTGTTTTTCGTGTAAACATTTGTGTACTAGTTGTGTGAATATTCGTGTACTAGTGTGAACATTCATGTACTAGTGTGGACATTCGTGTACTGGTTTTTGTGTGAACATTCATGTACTAGTGGTTGTGTGGACATTCGTGTACAAGTTTTCGTGTGAACATTCGTGTACTAGTGTGAACACTCGTGTACTGGTTTTCGTGTGAACATATGTGTTCTCTGCTCTGGGCAGTGCTGGGTCACTCGGCTGCTCTGTGTTGAATCTTTGAGAAAACAGCTTTAAACCTCGGCTTCCCCTGGTGCCTGTGATCTGTGTGGAGGCCAAGCACAGTCTGACTCGTGCAGAAAGTGGCTCTGGGTCTTTAAGTAACCAGACTTGCCGGCTTCGTGGCGACAGCGCCATCTCCTTCCCAGTGGGATGGGCCCCTCGCTGCTCCCCGGCCCTGAGTCCTGGGGGCCCCCCGGTGCCCTCCAGGCGGTCACTTCCTCACCGAGGGACAGAACGTCTCCTCGGACCTATTTTCAGTCCCACGTGCTGTCTGTCACGCAGTCTGCTCGTGAGGGCTCTGCGTGGAGATCAGCAGGGAAGGGACCATTCAGAAATTTCGAGTGAGTGGCGCTATTTCTGGCTCTTTGCAGCGACGCCCATGTGGCCTGCCACGTGCGAGCTCCGCGGTCAGGAACGCGATGGTCGCAGGTGTGCCAGCGTCTTTGCTTATTAGGACGGCCAAGGTGGGAACCTGGGTGGGTCAGCTTGGATTTCCGACTCCAGGGGTCACGGTGAGGTCAGCGCCGGGCCGCAGGGCTGGGGGTGTGGTCACAGGGCTCGTGCTGTCAAACCCCACGCGCCCAGCTTCGGGGTTTCGGGGACAACGAGGCGACGCGGTAACAGCTGTGCCGTGGTCCCTCCCGAAGGACATGCCACATGTCAGAGGAGTGGATTTATTAATGTTTTTAAAAAATATATATATATTATTGACTAGAGGCCCAGTGCATGACATTCGTGCACTGGAGCGGGGGTCCCTCAGCCTGGCCTGTGCCCTCTCGCAGTTCGGGACCCCTCGGGGGATGTCTGCCTGCCGGCTTCGGCCTGCTCCCCGCAGACATCCCCCGAGGGGTCCTTAGCACGGCCGCGGAGGCAGGCTCCCGCCACTACCACTGTGCTCGCCAGCCGTGAGCCCGGCTTCTGGCTTCTGGCTGAGCGGCACTCCCCCTGTGGGAGTGCACTGACCACCAGGGGGCGGCTCCTGCATTGAGCGTCTGCCCCCTGGTGGTCAGTGCGCGTCATGGCGACTAGTCGTTCCGTTGTTCGGTCGGTTTGCATATTAGCCTTTTATTAGATAGGATTTCAGAGAGGAAGGGAGAGGGAGATAGAAGCATCCATGATGGGAGAATCATTGATCGGCTGCCTCCTGCACGCCCCCTACTGGGGATCAAGCCTGCAACCCGGGCATGTGCCCTGACCGGGAATTGGACTCTGACCTCCTGGTTCAGAGGTCAACACTCAACCACTGAGCACAGGTGGGGTGAATTTCATAAATGACCTCGAGGTTAAGGTTTTTCGTTGGATCGTGTGCCCTGGCGTCGCTCCTGGGAAGATTTCTGAGCAAACTGACCAGATCACCCGAAAGAAAGGGTTTGGGAAGGATTTGGTGTCGACGTTTTATGACTCAAAGGGCTTTGGGCCCTGGCCGGTGGGCTCAGTGGTTAGAGCATCAGCCCGTGGCCCAAAGGGTCTCAGGTTCGATTCCCAGTCAAGGGCACGCACCTCGGTTGCAGGTTCCATCCCTGGCCCCTGGTTGGGGTGTGTTCAGGAGGCAGCCAGTCGATGTGTCTCTCTCTCATGGATGTTTCCCTCTCCGTCTTGCTCCCTCCCTTCCACTCTCTCTCTAAAGATCAATGGGAAACAATATCCCCGGATGAGGGTTAAAGGGCTTAAAAAAATCTTTATTGTTGAAAATATTACATGTGTCCCCCCCCATTGACCCCTTCTAACCTGCCTCCCCCACCCCAGGTCCTCACCGCCCATTGTCTGAGTCCATGGGTCATGCATATGTGCATTCAGGTTCATTGGTTGATCTCCCCCTCCCCCCGCCTCCCCCTCCTCCCCCTGAGGCTCCTGGTCTGTTAGGGTGGAAGGGCTGGGCCATGCAGAGAGGGTGCTTTAAAGGCCCAGCTCCCGTCGGGTGATGCTGTGTTGCTATGTTGTCATCAGCATCACCCCCAGGAGCCCCTCCCTGTGAGGAAACCTGCATGATCCCCCCAGGACTGTTTCTTTTTTTTTTTTTTTTTTAAATATATTTTATTGATTTTTGACAGAGAGGAAGGGAGAGAGATAGAGAGTTAGAAACATCGATCAGCCGCCCCCCGCACACCTCCCACTGGGGATGCGCCCGCAACCCAGGTACATGCCCTTGACCGGAATCGAACCTGGGACCCTTGAGTCCGCAGGCCGACGCTCTATCCACTGAGCCAAACCGGTTTCGGCCCCAGGACTGTTTCAATATCGTTTAAAGGCCAAGCTTTAAAAGTCATGAAAAATCTACATGAAAAGGGGAAAGACCCTGGCAGGGCACCCCTCCCCCGGACCCGCTGTACGTGTGTGACTCTGGCTGCGACGGGCCGTGCGGTCTTGACTTCTCCGTGTCGGGGCTGCCTGAGATCCTCCGGGTTTTAAATCTAACGAGGTCCCCCTCCCCCCCTTTCCCAGCCGTGCTCGCCCAGCGGGGGGCCAGCAGCTGCTGGTTTGCTTCTTGTGCACAGAGCTCGACTCGGAACATCCATCATCTGTTGATGCGCTAATTTGAGAATCATTCATCTGTTCATTCGCGCTAACCAAGTCCAATCGGGCTGCACAGACAACACAGAACAGGGTCACACGCACCGCATCCCGGGCGGGAGGAGAGGGCCCTGGGCAGGGAGGAGGCCCGGATCAAAGGGGCCGCAGGCTGAGCTTGGCTGTGTCGGTGCGACCTTATTCCTTCGCCCGCATGGAAAGGGCAGGGCCGTGCCCGGGAGGAATGGGGGGCGGGGGGGAGCCCCTTGTTCTGGGGCCTGAGGAGAAGCAGGCACAGCCTGTACCGTCTCGTCTTAACAGGTTCTTTAACTTGTAGGTTTTCTTGTTGAGGGGTGGGCAGGGCAGGCACAAGCGAGGGAGCTGGAGGTCCAGGGCTTCTCTCCGGAGGCGCTGGGTGTAGAGACCGAAGGTTTTGTGTTTAACTGGGTTTTTATTTTTTAAGTATATTTTTATTGAACTCAGAGAGGAAGGGACAGGGAGAGGGAGAGAGAAACATCAATGATGAGAGGGAATTATTGATCAGCTGCCTCCTGCACACCCCACACTGAGGATTGAACCCGCAACCCGGGCCTGTGCCCTGACCAGGAATCGAACCGTGACCTCCTGGTTCATAGGCTGATGCTCAACCCCTGAGCCACGCCGGCCAGGCTTACTGGGTTTTGGCAATGGGATGGGGATGTGAGACTTGACCCAGCTCTCGCTCACAGCTATGTGGACCGGGGTGCACAGCGGTCAGAGTGTTGACCCTGGGCAGACTGCCTGCGCCCACACTACAGCTTGTCCCTTAACAGCTGCACTGGGCAGCCCGGCCGGCGAGGCTCAGGGGCTGAGCGTCGACCTATAAACCAGCAGGTCAGGGTACAATTCAAGGTCAGGGCACAGGCCTGGTTGCGGGCTCGATCCCCAGTGTGGGGCCTGCAGGAGGCAGCCGGTCAGTGATTCTCTCTCATCATTGATGTTCCTATCTCTCCCTCTCCCTCCCTCTCTGAAATCAATAAAAAAATATATATTTTTAAAAGCTGCACCGGGCAATCTCTCAGGCTTCTGTGCCTCTCCTGCCGTCCACACAGTTAGGAGTCGGGGGTTCCCACTTCCCGTGGTTTCCGGGAGGATTGGAGGAGCCGGTTCGTGCAGAGTGCATCCCACCCAGGCACACGGGAGGGACAGGGAGGCCTCATGTGG